AGGAAAAGGATCTCAAGAGCAAGCAGAAGAGTCAGAGACATTCCCTATTCCCATTGTCGGAAGTCCCACAAGAATACCAAGCTACACAACCATAACATATATTCAGAGGACCTAAAAAAATGTGGCACAATGACACAATGGAGTACTAATCAGCTGTTAAAAACAATGACATCATGATATGGGCAGGCAAATCAATGGAACTAGAAAAGATCATCATTATGAGGCAACCCAAACCTATAAAGACAAACATGGTATGTACTCACAAATATGTGAATATTAGCTGTTATGTAAAAGATAATCATGCTATAATTCACAGACCCAGAGAGGCTAAGTAACAAGGAAAGCTCTACAGGTGATGCATGGATCTCCCACAAAAAAGGAAATAGAACAGATTTGGGGGGCGGAACAGTAGAGATAAGACTGGGGGAGTGGAGGGAGAGAGTACTAGAGGTGGAAGGAAAGATGACTAGAACTTGGAGGGCAATGTAGAAACCTAGTGCAGTGGAAACTCCCTGGAATCTAAGAAACTGAACCCTAGTCTCCTAGTAACGGGGGATACTGACCCCAAAGTGGCCATCTTCTTAAGCAAGTAAGGATCCTAGCAGTGAATCCTGGACATCAACCCAGCCACAAAACCTTCGACCTACAATCTGTCCTGCCTGCAAGATACCCTATGCTGGGGTATAGGTTGCCCAGAAATTGTGCAAGTAGCCAATCAATGACTGATCCAACTTGAAACCTACACCACAAGTGAGAGCCCATACCTGACACTGACTGGATGGCCAGGAACCAGAGGCAGGACAGGCCAGAGACCCAGGATAGAACCAAACATGACTTATGGGGCGGGGGTAGGCCACTGAAATGATTCCTAATGATATTCAGCTATGCTCATAGATCATTGCTTAGCCCAATTGCCATCAGAGGAACATCATTGAGCAACCAATGGGAGCTGATTCAGAGACCCACAGCCAAACACTAGGTGAGGCCAGGGGAACCCAGCAGAAGAAGGAGAGGAAGGACTGTAGGAGTCAGAGGGGTCAAGGATACCATGAGAACATGGCATGTTCACAGAATCAACTAAGCAGAGCTCAAAGGGGCTCACAGAGACTGAAGTGACACAGACCCTGTATGGGTCTGAGCTAGGTCCTCTGCATATACACATACATTTCTTAAGTACTGGAAAATTTCAATTTTTGATTTTTTCATTAAATTATATGCAGACATAGTGCCCACTTTTAAAAAAATCATCAAAATACAATTCATCTTACATTTAAGCACTTTAAGGACAGTGGTTGTATTGTGCTCAATGAACTGCTTCAAGAGATAAAATTAAAAACATAACTAGGTATTCTAATATATACATGCAGGTACAGGCACACAAACATGTAAATATGTGTACTTTCTTCAATGCATCTTCAGCTTAAACTTTTATTCCCAATTTGTTTGTATTACAATTTTTTTTAAAAAGATAAGGCATGGGATTTCATCTTTTCATTATAAAAATGATATAAAATAAATACTTTGACCTCAAGCCCTCGGTGTTTAATGTCTTAGACCAAAGCACTGCAATTAATATGAAATTCTAAATCCAGAAAATACTGCCACATAAACAGTATAACAGCCAAGTACTGTCTAAAAAGCCATATGTTTTTTCCCATTGTTCAAAAAAAGGAGATGACTTCCCGTCACTTATGTTTCTGATTAGCAAGGTGATTTATGCCACAATCACTAAAAATGCCAGCAAGTGAATGAGAAAATGCATAGTGACTGCACCAGATGTGCACAGTAAACAGGAATCCCATTGTAATCTCCGGTACTTAGTTTATATGAAGGTAATGTAGGAAACACTCTTGGATATGGCAAAGTCACTCTTTTTTTACATTTGACTATAAATGATATGAAATAAATTGTGTGTTTTATACTTTATGGCATGCATACATTGATAAATTAGGTAGCGTTTTGTATCCTGACTTATCTACAAGACAAACCTGGCTAAGATCATGGGGATTAATTGCTTCAGAAGTGTGAAATGCCGCTTTTCCATTCTTTTCTGCACACTCAGTGGAGAAACAATGATTAATCACTGTTTAACTATTCTCTTGAGGATCTACAAGATTGCCAAAGCAGGACTTATCCTCATAAATCCCAAAAATACAGGTTTAGATTTGTAACCAACAACCAAAAGGACTTGAACCTGAACTCATTTGTTATCAGATTAAAATAATATCAAGGTTTTAAAATTTACTTGTATACAATATTCTTTAATCAGTTACTTCAATGGGAAGTTAACAGGACATAAGTAAAACTTGTACACTATAAAACAGTAGTAACAAGCATACTTTTGAGACTTGTAAAATCTCACTGGACTAATGTCAAATAATATAGGACTGAACTAAGACTGATAAGCTCATTTAGCTATGTAATTCCAATGCACTACTTATGAAAACTACAATATCTGCACACAAAACTAACACAAAATGGCTATTTATTTTGAGAAATTATATTTAAAATTGCTTGTAAATAGTATCTAGGCAAACTATTTAGTACAGTTTACAAACACACACACATATATACATATGATATGATGACATTTTTACAGGTATATATACATATGTGTATACATAAACTGTGTGATACTGGGGACTAAATCTTTGGACATGCAAAGCAAATGGTCTCCCACTGACTGATGTGTACCTCAGTTCCTGTCTTAAATGTTATTTCTGACCATGTGAAACTTTCAACCTTTCAGTTAGATACTATGAAGGGTCCAAAAATATATGATATTTTGAAGAGAAGTACATAAGAGGTTTTAACATATTAAAATAATTTACTGTTCAAATATGTTTAGTCAATGTTCACTAATATCAAAATAAACAATAACTCTTAACATAGGAAATTATCTTTCCTATCATCAATGACATTAATACACATATTTTTGATAATTAAAACTGTATTATTTCAACAATCAGTGCAATGGGTAGTAGCTGCATGTGAATCATTACAAATGAAAGATTATGACAATTTTCATTTTAATGAGTCAACTCTTGACTAGCTACAAAAAATTCTTAAAATAAGAAAAAATATTTCAATGTTTCAGATTTCAATTTAAAATAGAAATACCTAATGAACTTACTTAACTTAAACACATGTGAAAAAGAAACCCACTTATAGTCATAAAGAGTTGGTTTATCTGTGGCCTCCTGCTGCTCCTTTCAGGTCTACAGACAGCTTAGAAGACTGCTAAAGTGGAAAGTCTGGGGTGAACTGGGATCACTCACTACTTGTCATAACCCTTGTCAAAGGGAGAGGGAAAGAAAGTGAAATAGATCTTTTTAGTTCCTTCATCTCATTTCCACTTCAGATTGGCTGTTTCCCTACAATCACAACAACAAGGGTTCCATCAAGTACACACACAACAAAAACTTTTAAAATTTTACAATTAATTTGGCAAAAAGAAAATAGTTCTTCTTCCATTATCTAATTAAAGTAAAAATGGACATATTAAGAAGTAAATATTCGGCCGGGCGTTGGTGGCGCACGCCTTTAATCCCAGCACTCGGGAGGCAGAGCCAGGCGGATCTCTGTGAGTTCGAGGCCAGCCTGGGCTACCAAGTGAGTTCCAGGAAATCCGCAAAGCTACAGAGAAACCATGAATCAAAAAAAAAAAAAAAAAAAAGTAAATATTCAAGTATAAGAGTAGTTACCATAAATAGTTTGGTTGTTAACACTTGTGAACCAAGTGGAATAAATTCATTCACATTGGTTTTACCCTCAAAGTTGGCATTTTAAAATTTATAAATAAGCAGATTATCACAGCTGTTCACCTCTCAAACATCTTCTCTATTAATATATCTCACTTGGGTAAAAAGACAGAGTCATCCATCCTTCTGTGTAACTCAGAATACACCACTTGCATAAAGTCCTATACAGATAACAATAGGATAAGTGGACAGAGGTTCAAGTATAAATACAGCTCTCAGGGAAAGTAACAAAGAAAAGAGTTGGTGTATTTTTCCATTGAGGTTTTTACTTCCCCCAAATAATTTTGTGCTTTTAAGGAAAAGGTCTCTGTAAATTGTTTATTTTTAAGTTATTAACCTAAACACAAAAATCATACCACGGATGACCATGATATAATGTAAGTCCATCCCAAAAGAAAATGAGAATTTTTATTCCTACTTAAAGAAGAAATGGAATGAACTGGAACATGCCTTTAAAGTAAATCAAGACATGACAGCATGTCTAATACACCTTATTTCTAATTATTGTTATGTACCAAGTACTTCCAAGAACCGAGCACTAGGAAACTCCTGGTGCCAGGTTTCTCCCACTGTTATGGTCTCTATGCTTATGGAAAACTGTTAGCCAAGAAAAAAAGTTTTCCTTTTTAAGTTACTTTTGGTCATATTATTTTATCAAAGCAACAAAAAAATAATCCAAGTATATTCCAAAGTACACTCCAAGTCCTTAATAGAAAAATAATTTGAATCTTTGTTTCAGTTTCCCTTATACTTGCAGGAATTGGCTAGTAATTGAAAATTTATATCTTACTATGGGTTATTGTGGGGGCTGGGGGAGGTGTGTGCAAATGAACTTCAATCCTTTTTTCTTTTTGCAGAGTTACTAGGAAACTATCTCAAGGTAAACACTATGCCACTAACTATATCTTCAGATACTGAGATATTGTCAACTCTAAATTTATGCTAACTTCCTATGCCTTAACAAATATATTGAATGTCTAAAAGATAAAACATTACATAAAAAGCTTATGAACATTAAAAGCATAACCAGGAAAATATTTCTAAAGCCATGCTATATACATTCTCTTGGCAAACTATCACATGCATTTAAGTTTCTTGAACGTGAACTCTTATCACAGACTCAAGCATACATATATTTAGTACCCTCGAAAACTCCCTAACTCTGAAAAAGAAAACACTGCATCCTTAAGAACAGCTAAAGGGAAAAAAACATTTCTAGCACAAGTTACTATTGTTTACCCTTTGGTGTGAAAATGCATGCAGTAGAAGCAGAAGCCAGAAGGTTCTCATGGATGCATGAGGCAAACTCTCTGCTCTGTGGAGAAATATCTCAGAGAAGCACTCCAGCATGACTGAGCTAAATGAGAAGAGGGTTAAAAACAGAAAGGAAAAGAATCTGGTGACAGAATGTAGGAAGTAGAAGGAGACCATGAGTAACCTTTGAGTAACTGTGTTGATGGGCAACTTTATTCCCAAGGGACCCCACAACCTAATTTTTGCAGAAGCATACAAATACATCCAGAAGATTTATGGACCACAATACTGTACTGAGAACATTAAGAATATTCAACCGTTAAATGTTGAGCAAATTTGTGCTCATATTCTAGGAGAACTTTCACTGGACTACAGAAGTGTTTGAAGACAACTTTAGCTTATTTCAAAGTTTTTCACCAAACACTGCCTTTATTGACAAATAGGAATTGAAGAGGAATCAAAAACTGAGAGAGAAGCTGATTTCTCCCTGAACTAAGTTATTGGAAAAACGGTTACATAGAATAATTAATACAAAAGTTTCTAGTGTTGCTACTTTAGTAGGAATGCTAAATCAAACAACAACTGCAAGACAGACTGAATTAATTGATGCCAAGATTCCAGGTTCTTAGAAAGAAGCCTCAGCCTACTGGTTAACTGCTGTTTCATCACCCATTTAACTCCCAGAAGACATTTTAAATTGGCAAGTATACTACATTATAACCCAGAAAAAGAGCTGAGAACCAAAAAGATCTTGCTCATGAAAACAAATCACTGTTACCACTTCATTTTTCACGAAAATGATATAAAGGTTGAAATGACAGAAAACTGTTGAAATCATAATGCACAGTAAAATATTACCACATTTTTAAAAGAATATAATTCATTAAATAGTGATCTAACTTGGGAAAAACAAAATTCCATCGGAAGTATATTTCTAAAACTAACAAAAAGTGAAGTTTAGAATATGGATGTATCAAAATAATTTAATAATATTTATAAATTAAAAATTAATTCCATATTCTTTTCCTAAAGAAAAAAGTATTTTCTTTAATAATATACTTCAAAAACATACGCAACACAGATCTTTCTACATAAACCCCAAATAATTACACTGAAGTTCTTGAGGATAACCAAGTTAACTAAAGAACTCTGTAAAAAAAAAGTAATTCTATAAAAAATATTAGGCAGTGTTTGGTGTTTTCTTTTTGAGATTATAATTTAATTACAACATTTCTTCCTGCCCTTTCCTCCCTCCAAACACACCTATACATTCTTCCCTACTCTCCTTCACACTCATGGCCTCTTTTTCCTTCACTAATTGGTATTTACACATTACTCCTTACTATTCAACAACCTGGCATTATTGATGATTCATCATATGTATAAAAAGGAACAGTGCAGTGATGAAATGTCAAGTATAAATCAACAACATAGATATAAAAACTGCAACAAATCTAGCTTAAAATTACTGTGGTTCAAGAAGAACGTACTGTTTCAAACACAGTACAGCATGATATGATCACTAAACTAAATAACAAAAGTCATACCCTTTTGGAAAAAAAGATATTCAGAAATCATTTTATATAGTTAGATTTATTTTATTGAAAATAATTCATGGTTTATGTATTTTTGGCAGTATTTCCTTATCTTACCTTTTAGGTCATATCTAAAAAACTATAAACAATAGTTTGCTAAATTATTCTGTATATATGGAGAATATAGAAGTATTGTCAAGCAGTTTCTATGACAATAAAATATACACACCTTATTTGTCTATGGTTAAACTAACAATTGCTAACACTAAAACAAATGTCTCTTCTTCATCTTGGCCATATGAAAAAACAGACCACTTTATTCTACAGATGACTTTTAAAAGTGAAAAATATTTATCTTTCAACTACAAAATATTTGTATTTGAGGACTAAATACTTAAATAATACTTTATATATAGTCACACTCCAGTGATGTCACTATTTGAAGAATGACAGCTATTTCTTTAAGAAACTTGAATGTACTCAAATTTTAAAAAAAAAAGTAACAACACAGTAAGTATCCCAAGTAATTTTAATTTCTATTTTTAAACATACACTTTATATGCATTTAAATTTCAATTTGATTTTCGATTTCTTACATTGCAAGGGTCATTAAGTAGCTATGCTGTGACAAGGTATATTTGGTAAAAGAAGAAACTGATACGCCACTAGTGAAAAGAAGAAGAAAAGGGGCACAATATAGGCAAAGTTAGTAAACCCAGAAGGCCATCCCCAGAGCAAGGCTGCACACAACAACTGGCTTCCTCAGCAGTCCCCATACAGAATTCTTGACCACCATTTCAAAGCAGGGGCTGCCAATTCCTTTTCTGGTTATTTTCACGGGAATTGCATAAATATTGGGAAATCTAGAAATAGAAAATAGATATACACATGCAAATATAAAAATATTGTCAGTGTATAAGTTACTGCTATCCTGGGAATCAAATAATTTATGTAACATCTGGTTTCATATTTTTATAATTTTTCCTAATTAACATGCATATTTAAGGCCTAAGGACTCTCTCTCTCTCTCTCTCTCTCTCTCTCTCTCTCTCTCTCTCTCTCTCTCCCTCCCTCCCTCCCTCTCTCCCTCCCTGACTATGCATCTTGTTGTTTTTTAATTTCAAAACTGTGTGTTCCTAGGGAAAAGTCTAGATAAGCAGAAATCCAAAATTTTATTGAATACAATTTTAAAATGTAATCAAAAGAAGTAAATAGCTTTGTAAAATAATACTGAAATCCTAGGAGTTTTCACATATGTGCTTGCAATGGTCAGATATTAACTAAGGCCTCAATATAGTTTAAAAAAATCATGAAATCATATTTCTAATACTATTTGAGTCTTTTTGACCTCTTTCTAACTTCCAAATTAAATAAAAAGCAAAGCCATCCTCTCCTTTCCTAGCCTAGCTGGGGTCTTTCAGCTTATGTACTAGCCCAGCCTAGTCCCACAGATGGCATCTACAATCCCAGGCAAAGCTGGCTTCACAGAGTTTATCCATCAACCCAGCCAGGTGACTGTTCCAGATCTCTGCCAGACCATTCCATTCACATTCCAATGTCTAACAGAGGCTGTAACATCCTGTACAACATCACAACCTGATGAGTAACAGATTAACGCCTGCATACGATGACCTCAGCTTGTTCAACTGTCCAGGCAGATCCAGCCATGAGTCACTTTCTTGATAACAAATGAATTGGAATTTTTGTCTCTCCAAACAAAAATCAAAATCGTGTATCTGAAAGACTGACCTACCAACTCTTCACACCTTACTCGACACAAAACCAATTAAAGAACCTACATGCCCACTGTAACATCATAACATCACAAAACCAATCTATATGAAATAACAAACCAATATGTGCCCCACCATGAAAACATACTAGTCCCAAAAAATACTGGCCAATGAGAATTGTTTAAATGAGTCCCAGGACACAGAATTTAAATAATAACTGCAAACATAAAGAATTCAAGGAATTCAAAAGGACACAAACAAATGCCTTAATGAACTTAAAGATGATAGTTATAAATCTCTGGGTAAAAGTCCAAGACAACACAAACATTCACCTGAATAAAATGAAGATAATTCAGATTTTAAAAACTGAATTCCATATAGAGACAGAAATACAAGAGAAAACTCAAGTTGAAATGAAGATGGACTTGAAAAGCTCAATCCCATCAGAAAACTCAGAGGGAAAGTCTTTCCAATAGAATGGATAAAGAAGATAGACACCAGGATTGGAATGGAAAGAGAAACTGGAGCATTAATCAAAGAATATGAAAAAATAAAAACACATACAAACACAGTATGCCAGAAATTAGAACACCATGAAAAGATCAAATCTAAAATATTTAGGAGAGGGTAGAACACACCACATCTTTCAATAATAACTTTAAATATCAATGGCCTGATTTGTAGCTGGAGTTTTCTCCAGTCCCACCTGGGCCCACAGCCATGCAGACACAAATAAACACAGAGAGGCTTATATTAATTACGAACTGTATGGCCTAATGGCTCAGGCTTCTTGCTAGCTAGATCTCACATCTTAAATTAACCCATTTTTATAAATCTATACCTTGCCACGTGGCTCACCAGTATCTCTACATCTTGCTTCCTCTGTGTCTGGCTGGCAACTCCTGATTCAGCCTTCCTGCTCCCAGAATTCTCCTCTCTCTTTGTCCCACCTATACTTCCTGCCTGGCTACGGGCTAATCAGCACTTTATTTATTAACCAATCAGAGCAACACATCGACAACATACAGAACGATATCCATGGCCTGAATTCCCTAGTCAAAATATAAGTAGTAGTGTAACAGATTAATAAACTCCAGTTTTTTGTTTTCTATAAAAACCTCAATTTTAAGAAGAGGAAACACTTCGCAATGAAAGGATAAGAAAAGGTATTACAAATAAATGGAGCCAGGAAGCAACTGGCACTATCTTAATATATGGCAAAAGATATTGCAACCTAAAATTAATCAAAAAGGGTAAAGAAGGATACTTCATTCTGATCTGGGGAAAAACTAGCCAAAAAGACATTATAATCTTAAACATATATGTACCAAATATGGGTGCATATGACTGGACTTCAAGACAAAAATTAACCCTAACTCAAATATTCAGTATTTCAATACCCAGTGTTCTGCAATAGACAGGTCATCTGGTAAAAACTAAAGAGAGAAACATCAGAATTAAGTGACATCATACATATAAGTGACCTAACAACTATCTATAGAATATCATAATCAGATGACAAATAATATACACTGTACTCAGCACTTTATGGAAGTGTCTATAAAATAAACCATATACTGGGAGACAAAACAATTCTGACCAAATACAATATTACTGACATGGCTCAATGTATCCATCTTACTTAAAAACAAAACTTAAAATCAGCAGGAAAAAAAAACTACAGTAATCACAATAACTCATGGATATTAAACAACCATTACTGAATGATAAACAGGTCAAAGAAAAGCAAGAAAGAAAAAAAATTCCAAAACTAAATAAAAATGAAAATACAATGTGAAAAAGCTGAGAAACATTGAAAGCAGTCCTATGAGGGA